AAAAAAAAAAAAAAGGAGTGAAGTTGATGAAAGGGGAATTGAATTCAAATGGCAAGTTTCAAAGGAAATTAATGCTACAAAATTGATTGTATTGTGTCCTCCTTTGTTATTTTTTATTTATTTATTTATTTATTTTTTGGAGGAATAAAAAAGTACAGGTCAGCTAGTCAGGAAATGTGAGCGTTACATGCTTTTTGACAAAATATGAACTTTGAGGGTAGCTGTCAACACGTGGAAAACTAGCCTAATATTGGCTATATTTTTTTTAAAAAAAAAATTAAATACACAAAAAAAAAAATAATACTTATACAATGAGCTGAATTATTAGACGGTTCGACCCGTGCCCACCTGAGTTTAAACCATCAAATTAACAAATACCAATTCGAGTGTGTGTACTCAGACCGTGTTCTTACGATGTGGACATTGGTTGAACCGGTTTTGTTATGAAGTAAAAAATTGACTTCATAGTGAAGTCAACCTTTTATATCCAACAAGTATATAAATTTTTTTTTAGGTATGTGGAAATATGGGACATTCCAATTTGATTTTTTTTTCTTTTTTTTTTTGCCTATAAAAATTAAATTTTGTACTTGTATAAAAAATATATGAGAAAAAATCTACATGTAAGAATGCATATGTGTTTTTATAGACATTTCATCTAATTAAATTTACCAAATAATTCGAGAAACAACTATACTTTTCATAAGGTACATTAGTCATTGTCTTTAAGAACAATGACAAGCTAAAAAGTTGAAATGCTTGTTTTGTTTTGCTACGAAGCCAACAGTTGGTTCCATAGTGAAGTCAATCTTCTATATACAACAAATAAACGTGCTTGTTTAGAAAATAAAACAAAGTTTTTAACCATTAAAGAGGACATGGACCATTTACAACTTGTTCTAATTTGATATCACAAGTCATTAAATTGTTGAGGCTTTTTGTTTATTTATTATGGGCTGGAAATTTGAGGTTGGGTGGGTAGGTGAGTAGGTGGTGCTCCAACTCATTTTCCACTATCCTATATTATTATTATTATTATTATTATTATTATTATTATTATTATTAACCACTTCCAAACTAGTTCCATTTCTTTTTTTTTTTTTTGTACAGGGACCTTCCGGTTTCCGGATCTACAGGAGAACCGACTAATCCAGAATCGAACCAGGTAGGACCACAAGAGCGGCAAAGCTCTCCCGAGTTCCATATCTCTTTCACCTCAAAGAAACAAGATTTCAGTTAAAATTGGATATATTTGGCCATTAAAGCCATGATGTATATAAATTTCTTATGTTTCTTGAAAGGCATAACCTTTTTTTTTTTTTCATTTTCTTTTTTCCTATTCTTGCAGGTGAAGCCATCAACATCCTCAACAAAGCTAATTAGAATATACACTTCACATAAATTCCCCACCGTTGGATCACAAACACACATACATATTGATCTAACGGTGAAAAACCCAACGTGTGCACTGCACAAACATGTAGAGTGAAATCTAACCACACAATCACACCGAGATTAGACTGCACGAAAAATAACTTTTGCCATATTCAATGCAATACAAACCAAGAAAATGAAAATCAGCCAAATTTGCAAAACTTCAACCTGAAAAAAACAGTAAATGCTCAAAATTCAGCACCCATCAAGATATCTTCACATACATGTGACAAAGAAAACTGCACCACTTTATTTCAACTTTCACCAACACCGGGTCTCATGCAGTAAAATTATCAACACCCCACAACTGATTTAAAACGAGGCATTCAAATTGCATTTTTTGCTACAAAACTGCGAAAAATCAGGCGCTGTCTTTTGCTTGTTTACGAGCTTCTTCTCGTAATACTGCCCTCACATAAATCTCATAGCAACATCCTGAGAAAGAAACATCAACGATGGCAGAGTATAAGACTTGACAATTAGAAAAGAAATATTTACATATCTATGCAGGTTACTACATTTGCATGGAGATATTATAAGCTCATACGTGATATAAGATGCTTTATAAAGGTTACAAGATGTTAGATGCTCAAGTGCTCGGATAAATGAGGATTAAAAAATGTGTCAGTGATGATAGTTTTATCAAAATCACCAAAGATTGAAGAAGACTTTAATCAAAACCGCTCTCACTAGAGAAAGAACAAAAAGTTCAGATTTGTTTATCTTCTAAAACAGTTGAGTGGAACAGTTCTTTTCAGCTAATGCGTTAAGATACAGCTTATAAGACATTTTGCAATAAGCACGTGACTTTAAGCTCTACAAAAGATCCTCTTTGCCAAAAGCCAGTCTATGAGGTATTAGCATGCATACAATTTCCACAGTTAAACTATATATACTGCTAGTAAAAACTCCAACAATGTATATTTAAGGACTTGTAATCAGCATAAGAAATTAACATGTTCCAGTTAGCATACATTTTCTTATGGTAGTTACTGGTTATCACAACCCATGAACACAGCATAAAATAACCATTTTCTTGCTATTTATTTCTATTGATTGATTGGTTCATGTATCATACATTACTTCCAAAGGCAATGCACTTCAGTTTTATGCTGCACTCTCATAAGCCATATTAAAACATGAAATAATACATCGATAACAGAAAATTATCGAGTTATCAAATACGTTGATAATACCATCTAATCATAATGTGTATTGATAAACATACCAGCTACAACTATGACAGTAAGAACATCTCCTGCACGTTTGATAAGTCTCACAGTATTCTTAGTTGATTTGAAGCGTTTAAGGGACGGGTGTTCCTCCAAGAGCTGTAGAACAGTGAGAAAATTAGTGTCAAGCATAGTAAAATGTCACAGCCAGAAACGCACATAAATATAGTTCAAAGAGTGAAAATTTTGTAAATATATACTCAAATACTGAAGGGATTCTTGAAAAAAAAAAGAAATCGGACTCAAGATACAAGAAAATACCGCATCTATGTTAAACAAGCAGCCATCTGACATCTAAACAAAAGTTTAATGAAGGATACAAAAATCATTATACTTCGATATTTCTGAAAATAAAAAAAAGAGAGACCACACTTAGCAGATGGGCAGATCCTTACGAGTAGTGGTTTTGTCCAGTTTTATAAGAAATTCTGATAGAAAGCCAAGAGTTTAATCTTCGAATATTTCTTTCTTTCTTCCAGATTAAGCTTTTATTAAAATAAATCGACCCCATCACTGGTAACGATTCAAAATCCACAAACCAGCCCCACCTTGTATGGTATCATTACATATTCATTTACCCATCTGAGTTAATAATTGGTCTTTTATAGCTATCTTGCTTTTCATTATTTCAAGTGGGAAGGTCTATTTTCGACGAACCCAAATCAAGTAAAATCTATCATGAACATAAATGTTTTGTACTTCAAAGGCAAACATTGATTTCGATTTCTAAATCGACTTCCAAGTTTATCACTTGCAGTTTGATAATCATAAACCTTTTCTGAATCAACTATTTGAATTCAAAGCTCTCCTCTTAATCAAATATAACATCTAACGATAACACCATAAAATTAAAATATCCCCATATATCTCCATATTGTAGCTTCTCAAGGCCCAGAAGCTTTAGCTTTCTATAATAACAAAAAGCTTCTGCCTTGTTAACTCTTATCCATATCCCATTTTTTACATTTGGAATCTACTATAAATCTTCACATCGAACACGATCAAGAAGGAAATTGGACAAAAGCCCAAATGGATTTACTCGCACAACCTAAAAAAATGGGCAGAAATTAAATCAGATGAAAAACGATAAAGTAAAACACTCACAGCCTTCTCGCGAGCCCCGGGCTCAACATGAAGCCCGCGCCTTGAAATCATCAACGAATCATCAGCTTTCTGCTTAAATTTTCACATAAACCCCATCAAATTCATTCCACTTTTAATTCTTTCCCACCAGTCGAAAAGTAATGTTCAGTGAAAGTTACCTGGGAACTGAGGCGGAGAGCGGAGCGAGTGGATTTATTGAGAAAAAACGCCATTGTTGTCTTTCTTTTCGAACAGGGACTTAGGAAAGAAGGATTTCAGAAGGAATTTTTGCAGCATAAAATGCTCACAAATCACAATCGGCTCAACAGAAGTATTGTTTTTGATGTGGGAAAGGTGAAAATATTGGGGATGAAAGCCCTGTATTTGCGAAATAGCCCCTTTATTTTTTATATTACCACATTGACCCAGATTTTTTTTTTTT